AAAATTTCTGCCCCGGGCGCCCAGAACTCTGGTTACGCCCCTGCCTTAGACAGACAGATGTCTTACTGAGAATGCTGGGCTGTGAGATCTGCCCAAATTCATATCTTCTATGACATGCCACAATCTCTGTAACTCAGCTAGAGCTTGTAATTGGCAGATAAACACACTCCTCTTTTCTCCAAAGAAAAGGCAAATAGAATTACTTTAGTATCACCACCTAGGAATGTTCTTTGCTGCCTTCACAAGTGAAGCTCAAAATAGACCCATGTATGGCCATCATCAATGGGTGTGGACATAGAGAAAAGATACTATACTGAGGTACCTCCTCCCAGAGCTTCAGAGTATAGTCCACTGGCTAGTAGCCTCTGATTGGACAGTAAAAGAGAAGCAGCAGCAGATAAGCTCATCTTTCTGTCACTTTATTCTGTTTATGATGTTAGCATGTTCCTTCTCAGTACACGAGCACAGGTGATTGGCTCCTTGCATTGCCTCTTCCTCTCCCAGTCTGAGCTCTACAAGAAGTTCATACCAAGTCAGATTCAGGTACTTACACTGCTTGCATTTAAAAATAGTTTTTATGCTGTGTTAATTAATACAGAGCTGCATTCATTTGTGTCTTAAATCTGTTGGGAGTTCCAAAATAACAGATGAGGATGAGTGTTGTATATCAAAACTTACTTTACTGACGTGTTCTCTGGAACTTCAAATGTCACCAGCCGCCCACCTGAGGAGGTGTTAGAACTGGCATTTCCACACGCAATGTCTGGAATCACCTGCAATGATAATAAAATTAAACCATTGAAAAGCTATTTTTACTGACCTTACTCCTATTTTATCAGTGACATAACTACCGCCCTTGCAACTCAAGTAATTAAGTAGACATAAGAAACTGTCTGCAACAATGGATCAATCTGCAACCAATATTTCTAGGAGCAGATTAGAAAACTAAAGCAAGTGTCTGAATAGCTGCCCTGGTTGAATGGTCCATCCTCCATTCTAATTTTGAAAGGTCCACAACAGACACAAATACAATCTGGCCACTTCGTGTGGACCTTTCAGAAAAGTGGACATGGATATATTCCTGACATGTCCCAAGAAACATCAGTTGATGCCTACAGCTATTACTTTCCGTGACAGAATAAGCATAACAGTAGTAGTCTGAGAAATTTGAGGAAAACAGTATAATTTTTTAGAAAAGCTCTGCCTTTTATACAAATAATCAAAAAACATTCTTGAGCCCCAGTTTAGTGACTTTGCCTATACTGAGATGATGTCATCACTCTGCTGCAGGCAGATGGAAGCATTTCCTCAATATCTAATCCCCCAGTGACCAGACTAAAACATTGTAACATTGTAGCAAGATATGCAGCAGAGTGCTGATCTGTGTCAGACATGTGCCATTTCTGAGTTGGCATCTCAGTCCAAGAAGTAGATGCCGACCCTGGATGAAGCCTGGACAATGATGGTTACATCCTTCTGGAGAGAAAAGTAGAGGAAGGAAATGTCAGGGGGAGTAGATTGATCACTGTGAGAAGTAATACATACCTGGAATGACACATTACTGAGCATGCATGTATCTAACATCTTAAAATATACCTGATGGCAGGTCCACTTTAAGCCAAATCTCGGGCTGGCAGATCTTTAACAGCTTTGAACATACCTATGTACTACTACAAAGAAATTCCTGAAAACACAACTTAGATAGCCCATTTGGGACCTAATTAAAACCTTCTCTAACATTGTGGTAAAACAGAAGTCTCCTTCCACAGGCACCTTCCTTACTAATTATAATTTTATGGACTGCTTACCAATCATAGGAGAAATCACATCAAACAAATGGTTAAATAGCTCAATGGCATGAGATGAAAACTGATAATGTAGTTCAGCCATTTCTCTTTGCTCTTTTAGGGCCTATTCACACCAATGTTCATCATTAATCTCACCATACAATGCGATTAACGTATGCTATTGCACAACGCAACTTGTGTGCGTTACCATTCTCTAGGTACGTTGCATTTCCAGTCACTGGAATGGCATGCCAATGCACCCCGGCTGCCATACCATATGCTGCAATACCATATGCTGTGGTGGGAAGAAGTAATGCATGTACTGCACAGTAACACATCCTAGATGCATTGTGCAATAACGTGCGTTAATCTCACAGTATAGCGTGCGATTAATGCTATGCTTAGGTGTGAATGGACTTATATATATTGTAGCAGGTCATCATGTAGAGAGCCAGGAGAGGTCCTGTCTGGGGGTTTATGTGTCACCCAGATTCCTCTCTCACACCTTCCAGAACCTCTAGTAAGCCCCAGGTTTTACACTTTGCCTCAGTGGCAATTTAGTGCAGGTGAGGCAAACAGACACTGGGGACACTGGAGCCTGGGGAGCAGAGAGTCTGAATCTGCTGGAGCATAAGGTTGGTCACTGTGGTTTTTGAGGCCTGACAAATAATAGGTTTGTACAGGTTGTTAGTCAAGACTGTGTTATCTGTAGTCAGTGCCGGGACACGGCTAGGATTTTGTTTTTTTAATTATTTACTTAATTTGAGCACTGTACAGCACTGTGTATATAGCTTGTGTGATGAACCAATAAATGCACCACTGTTTTGAACAAAGGTCACTGGTGTGGTCTCTAAGCCTCTCAAGATTGCTCACCCCAGGGAGCAATTACACCCGCTACCTATTCCCCAGCTTACATATGGTGGAGAATGCGGGCAAGTTATAGCAAGAGTCTGCTATTTAAAGGGCTCTCTACATGATGACCTGCTACAATATATATATACTGTATATATATCTTACTCACATTTCCTTCTCTCCCCTACCACAGCTAGGAGAGGTCGGAGCTGCTTTACACAGAGCTAAGGTCTTGTCCCAATGTGATAGCGCTGGGTCAATCACCAAGCACCAGCAATGTCAAGTGAGAATGAAGGGAGTAAGTCACATGTCTGGAATTTGACATTTTATTTGCTCTCATAGGTTGGGCAGACTTGCAAGGGATCAAAATAAAAGGTGCAAGCTGCTGGGGAGGAGGCATTAAAGCAAACTTGTTGCTTTGCCCTACATGAAAAAAAGAGTAAGCTTGCTTTAAGGAGATCTAAGGTAACCATCTGTGTGATTACCATTTGGTTATGTTCAAATGGATGTTCAAAGGGGGCACTAAGTGTGTGGTTCTAACCCCCACCAAGTGACACCTCCAAATGTTAGGTCTAATGAAGTGAACTCAGCTAAACAGCTCAGTGCAGGTGCTTATTAGAACAGACTTTGAGTCATGCCAGCCTTTACATACTTTCGCTTTCAGAATGCACCAAGAACCCCCTTTATATATGTGAACACACCTTTAGTGGTACAGTATAATATCACCCTTGTGACATGAAGGGAGCTGAGGACTTTTGACCTCATCAGGACGTTCTTGCAGGATACAGTAAGGCATAAAGGGCCCATTCTCTGTAAAGGAGGGGCAGGAACACCTCAGACTTTTATACATTTTTGCATTTTTTTACTTTGAGTGTTTTTTTTTTAACATTCTGAATTTTACTACATTGTTCAAAACAAGTGTCAGGAAATATTTAGCCAGACAAGGAAGTGATGCAGTCTTCAATCCTGCTGAACCAATTGGGGCATCTTGTCAGCTGTTCATTTTGTTCACATCTTTTATGTTATCCCACCTGTGCTCATTCCCTGTCCTTTCTTGCTGACTGCATTCACGGCTGTAATGGAGCACCTAAATGGTACTGCCAACCCATTTTACCGCTCTACCCTGAATATGGATAATGAAGAGAGATGGAAACCACACAAGGGTGAAATGATTCATCATTAGGTGTAAGAATTTCAGCGTTCTGCGGACATGAACTCACCTCATGATAGATAAACTAAACTGCAGCTCAGAAATAAAAGCATCTTTCAAAAAGTTGTTTCAACAAAACAGTTTTTCAATTGTTATTTTAAAAAAGAGGATTATATTTTAAAAGCTTAAAACTGCAGGCGTTTCTTTGTGACTTTTGTGAAGAGAACATGGAAAACCTTCACACACCCCCACTAATGAGGCGGGGGAATCCCTACTCAGTTTAAATGGCCCTGCCAAGGCTACCACTGCCTGCAGAACTGCTCAGTTCTATTTGGCGCAAAAGTTCTCGTCCTTTGAGTACACAATATTTTTCAATGTGTGCTGTGCTATAAAGGCACTGCCTGGCCTTGGAAGCCCAGTGAAAAGGAGGGAGTTCCCACATAGAGAGACCCCCACCAACTAACAATGGGGGCAGAGGGAGAGATTTTCTACTTTTTCTCTACCAGGAGAAAATCTTGTTTTTAAGTGCTTACAGGGACTCGCAGTTTAACATAAAAGAGAGCCACAGCTAAAGAATTCTTGTTGAAGTAACGCTGAAGAGACTCCATCATGTTGTCCAGATTTTATCTCACCTGCAATGCTGGTATCTTAATTCATCCATCACAGTTAATATTAGACTTTTTTAACAGGAAGTATTAATATTAGACTTTTAGTTTCTCAGAAAGATATATTGCACCAGAAAACTCTGCACTCCTTCCTTAGCTGCTATAGGCTCATGAACTCCAAAGTTGGAGTGTCTTACTCAGGACAACCATCTTGTGGTCATGGTTGCTCAATCAGTAGCTCTTTTGCTTTGAATATCTACAGTCCTCAGTTTAATGCCACTATTTCAGCCGATGTACGGCTGAAATCAGCCGTACCAGCCTGAAGTGAATAGCCGAACAGTGTTCAGCTCATTCACTTCTGATCGGTCATTCACTCGGCTGCCCTCGGCAGCTTTGTGAATAGACCCCATAGTTTAGTCAATTCTTTCTTATTGGAATACAAATCTGAATCTGCTTGCCATGAACAATCATAGTTATGGATGTTTTAATCCTTTTTTGGGTCTCTTATATGCAGCTCTGAATTTGCAGGCTTTTCAGAGTCATAGTGCTTAACTTGATAGAACTGCGGCTTTATACTGTCAAGGTATGGGTTTTTTCCCTTTTGGGTCATTGAAATGTGTTCCTGATTCTATTATTGTTGGAGAATATAAGCTGTTTTGGCACAGAGGCTAATGTTAAAGGTAATATACCACAGGGCCGGACAAATACCAGGAGACAGGTAGCCAATGCTCCCTGAAAATGACAGCTGGCACCCAACTTTGGAGGTTTACTCTAGTTGTTGTCAATGGAGCTGGCTCCTATAAAAAAAAATCGGCTGGCTCCTGGATTGAACAGACTGGTCACTGAATTCCATATTCATTTGTCCACCCCTAATATATGATATATCTTGTGTGAAGGGAACACATCTCATGTATGTCACTGAAAACAGATGTGTCCAGCTGTGTGGTCTTAATGCCTGCAGTTTCACCACTTAATGGTGTAAACACTTTATACATATCAATGACTCTACTAGCTGCTAAAAACAATGCCCACTACTCTACACTCATACTCTCGGACCTTTCTGCTGCTTTTGACACAGTTAACCCCTCGCTCATATTCAATAAACTCCAATCCCTTGGCCTCCAAGACTCGGCTCTCTTATGGTTCACCTCCTAGCTATCCCAGTGCACCTTTAGTGTCACCTATAACTCTACTTCCTCTTCTTTCTGTGGTGATCCCCCGAGGCTCTGTCCTTGGGCCCCTTCTAGTCTCTATCTACACCTCTTCCTTGGGTCAGTTGATAACCTCCCATGGCTTCCAATACCATATCTATGCCGACAAAACCCAAATCTATCTCTCCACTCCTCAGCTCACCCCTTCTATCTCCTCACAAATCACTA